GCTACAAATATTTCAAACTCCTAAAATTTGCAAGGCAGTCTTAGAGAGCAATTTCTGGATTCCAAAAATATCTGAGGATGAAATTATATTTTCTCTAGGGACACTTCTGAAGATATAATGGTGTTACCTTAATATGCTCTGAGGTTTAATAAATAAACAAATGAAAGTGTGTCTTCCATGGGTAAACATTGCTTGTTCCTACCCTTTTCAAGGATAGTTTAGCTTTGAAGAAATCAGAAGTATTCTCCAAAAGTCTGATACATATTCAAGCAAAGGCTTCTTCAGTGATATAAAAAAAACATTCCAATCTATTTTTCATAATTCAGTTAGGGAAAAGTGCAGTCCCTTTAAGTCCTTGAAATTTTATGATACATAATCATAAAGCCCATTAATGAGAAATAATGGTTAATTCTACTCTCACCTTTTCCACTATAAAAGTACGGAGTATACCCTATAGTCTTTCTATGTTAACTGCTTCCTCAGAATAAAATTTTAATCTACAAATTCCTCTTACCTATTGATTAGTGAACTTAACTTTAAAACATTTTTTTAAAAAAATATCCTGATTCATAGATTAAGTATTCAGTGTTGGCTAGAGAGTATATAAATTAGTTGCTATAATGAATTGTAATGCCCACTGGGATGGGCAGTTCTGTGTTCTGCTAGTTCACCTCTTTTCTCTGTGGTCAATCGATGTGATGGTGATTGGCAGAGAGAGATCCCACCCTTGGTTCCATACAGTGTGGAGTGTTGCAGGGATCTGCACCTATTCAACATCTACATGAGGGGCTGGGTGAGCTCATCCATCACTATGGGACGAGAGAGTCATTGGTATACTGATAGTACCCAGTTACATATCTTTGCTCCTGGTGGATTAAGTGATGCTGTGAACATCTGTGCCTGGAAGCTACAAGGGTCTGGATGAATAGCAATAGCACTTAGACTTATATATCGCCCCATGGTTCTTTACAGCACTCTCTGAGCAGTTTATAAATGTCAGCATATTGCCCTCAATAATCTGGATCCTCATTTTACCAATCTTGGAAGGATGGAAGATCTGAGTCAATCTTGGGCCGGTCAGGATCGAACTCCTGGCTGTGGGCAGTGTTAGCCTGCAATATTGAATTCTAACCACTGTGCCACTACGGTTAAGCCTTGTTGAAAAACAATAGCCTTCATCTGAAGCCTGGCAAGAATGAATGGCTTTAAATTTTGGAGTCTACCGGATCCAGGACTATGCCATTTTTGGTCACAGAGGGGGATGCACTACCACAAACAGACCTCATGCACAGACTGGGAATCCTGCTAGACTCATAACATAAAGAACAGCGGCAGTCACAGTTAGGAGGACATTACTACAGCTTTGTATTGTGTGCCCATTGTCCTTGTTCCTAGATCAAGGGTCACTGCTGACAGTCACTCATGCCCTAATCACCTGATTGGACTATTGTAATAGGGTTTACATGGGACTTCTCTTGAAGAGTATCCCAAAATTTCAGCTGGACAAAATGCAGTGCAGTGGGCAGTTATGTGTGTGCCTTGTAGAACAAACATTACACCTCTACTCTGTAAGCTGCATTTGTTACCAACCTGTTTCTGGAATCAGTTCAAGGTGTTTTTAACCTTTAAAGCCCTACAGGGCCTGGAGCTGGGTTATTTGAAAGACTGTCTTCAGTTACATCTACCTTTCTCGCCATATGTACGCATGCTATGGTCCTGTCAGCTAGGGAATTACATTTGGCGGGTCTCAGATGATGGCCTTTATTGCCATGATACTTTATGGAACATCTCCACTTCCCCCCCCCTCCTCAAGTGAGGCTAGCTCCATCTATGTTGATTTTCCAAAAGTCTCTCAAAACCTGCTTGTGCCATCAGACCTGAAAACCTCAGGGGACTGGTGAGATACTGAGGTGGCTCCATTGTTATTAACATCTGCTCTTAGCCTAATATCTGTTCTCTCTTAGCATTGAGTTTTTTTAAAGTTTTTAAAACGTTTATAAGAGTAATAATAATTATTTTTATACAGTACATAAGTATTTTATCCTTGTCACTTGTTTTTGAGATGGGCAGCTATATAAATTTGATGAATAAATGAATGCAATGAAATGAAATGAAGATAAGAAACACCTTGAAACAATAAACCAATATTCAAATTCAGCCAGGTTTGAAATGTAGCTCTTGACATGCTACACAAAGCCTGGTATGGCCTCTGAGCCACTAAAAGTTGCATAATCCTGTTCTAAGAGAAGATGCTCTTAAACAAGGACATCATTCTTCTTGAATAGGAAAAACAGAACAAGTTGTCTCTTTCCAATACTGCTGTTAAAAGAGACAAAGGGAAAATGTGCAACTTTTCTATTCACTTACGAATAAAAATACAAAGTCACTTAAATTGTAATACTAAATAAGGATTTGATTAGTGTAATGGTACCCTCAACTTAGATATATTTCTTTTGCAGAAACCTTAGGAATCAACCCAATTCCAGACCTAAATATTCTGAAGTGCTTAGTCAAATAAACCATGTAGGAGAACTATGAGTGTATATCTAGTTTCAGTTCTGCATTTTGAGCTGTTATACACAAACTTATTTTCAATAGATGGAGTGGTAACCTCTCCCAAAGTTAAACACACGGCTGAATTATGGTTACATGTGTAAAATTAGTAAGATTGCAGAAAGCATGAAGTTAAGCCTGGTATAAGAGTACATGAGCTCAGAATTAAACACCACTGATTTAAATTGCATTTTGCTACTAATTAATAAATTAATAAAGACACATGTTAGATAGAATATCTTATTCTACCCTTCAGCCATAAAAATACTTTCTTAGCAAATTATAAGAGAGTGTACAGATCAAGAAGTTGAGGGGAGAGGAGGAGAGAGGAGAGGAGAGGAGGGGAGAGGATTTATAGGGTTGTACCTTTATGTTGGTTTCATTGCTAAGCTTGTAGTGAGTGAATGGGAAAGAAAAGGGGCGAAGGAAATCCACCAAGTATTTAAAATACTTTCTAAAAAGAAATACATTTGACATAACAGTATCCTCCCTCACCCAGCTCTTTATTCAGTGACTTTCACACAGGCATGGGTATTTTTTCCTGCAAGATAATATCCAATACAGTATTCACCTTTGCTTTGAAGCAACATTATATTCATAGCAAAGTGACTGTTTAGCATGTATATAAAATTGAGCCTGTAGATGAATTAAGGTGGCACCCTTCTGAAGACCTGATTTATGCATTCATATTTCAGAATTCATGTAGATTAACTGATTTAGGCAAACAGTGAAAGTGAACACACTTTTCAGGGACTTCCATAAAATGACACAGTTTGGGGACATCCTTCTTTCACAAAGATTATTGCTGGACAGCTGCTTAACTTTCTTCCTTCTACCTTGCTCTGTTATTTGCATATAGTTCTTCATGTGCTAATTTAATTAAGAAGCCTATCCTTTGAGATACTGCAATATTAAGGATTGGACTAGTCCAGGCAGAATAATAAACTTTAATTCTACGCTACCCACCAATGCATTATCAAAACACTATAGGTTTGTGAAAGAATTTGATTTTCTTTCCTTGAACAATGTGATAAGCCAATGGTGAAATTACCATTGATTATAATAAATTGGGACAGCATCTCATCTGCATATCAACTTGAAAGATATAATGAGATTCATGAAGGTAAATGTTACAAAGAAATACCTAAAATTGTTAATTATTTTGAGAGAAAGAGAGATTGGGATCAACAGTGCAGCTAATGTCAAAAAATTTATCTTAGCTCCTCAGCTTTACTTGGAGTGACAGTACAATCCTAAACATTTGCTATGGTTCATGCACTGCAGAACAGGATCTGTGCAACTTGCTTGCTCTAATGATAAGCCCCTCCAATTATGTCTTTGACAATGCAACAGCTCTTAGGAACAGAGTATAAATCACCCTCATTCTTTTTATACACCTAATCTTTAGCTAAGTAGTTTCTCAACAGCTGGAAATAGTAACATGATCAGTAAATCACAGAATTGACAATTGGAAAGTCATAGATTACAGGGTTCACATACTATTTCACATACATGAAATCTTAATTTCCTTAAATCTTTTAAACTTTAAAATTAAAGGAATTAGAAAAAACACAGTTCTTGAGATTATATTTGTGATAAACTCTGAATTTACACAAATTGTTCATTTCACACCTGTACAAATTACTGTGGTTGAATCAGACTACTTAGAACATCTCATACAACATTAATCTTAGTCTGATCCATGAGCTAATAGAAAAATAGTTGAAACTAAGCATATGCTTATGTATGAAATTTATGTATTAAAGTAAAAGTTATTAAAGTCAGTAAAACTATTGTGCATTGACTTTAGAATTAGAACACGAGTGTTGCCAATGGATTTGCCTGTGCTTCAGTCAAGAAAACTAAATTTATGTTTGAGAATCATATCTCATTAAACATTAAATAAAAGTGGTTTTTTTGCTACAACTAAGTACACACCATTGAGACAAAAGGAAAGAAACTGAACAATACAGGTAAAGAACATACCAACAATTCATTTTATGACAGTTAATCTAGTTTTGCTTTAACATTCATCAGATGTATATGTATACTCAAATGTTACTTTCTAAGAATTTATCTGTCTTTATTGAATGTCAGTGTATTAACAAAAGACAAAAAACATTGTAACACTATTCATTATAGTTACCATAATGAGGTAGAATATATGATTTTGATGCATCATATTACAGCTTTGAAATCTACATATGTTTGCTATTGAAAACACCAATTATCCAGAAGGAATTATAGGAAATGGAGGTTTGGAAAGGAAAAAAAAATTCAACAAAACATGTTGAATCTTTTTTCTACTTCCTAATATTTCATCAGATAGCTATCAATTTCTGCAAAGGGTCTTTTTTTTTTGGGTTGTTGTTGCCAAAACTGAAAAGAACCCAGCTGTACAAAAACAGATTGCAAGCAATTAAAATATAAAGGCAGTTTAGTCATACCTTATTATGTGTCTGTGTTTGTCCAACCAATATGAGAATATTTGATGATATAATAGATAGGCAGAAATTAATTAGAATTATGGACCTCTCAGATCTGATGTACCTGTTCAAGGAAACACACATACACACAAAAGATTTTTAAAAAATGCATTCCATAATTCAGTAAATTCTTATTAAAACAAATAATTAATACTGATAATTTTTATGTATTTAATAACAATCTTAAAGCATAAGTAGTTTAAAATTAACTTTTTAAATGAAAAGTTAAATGAGTATTTAAACTTCTTTTATTTGGAATTGTACAGGCTAATAGTAATTAATATCAGAATTGGGAACAAAGAAACAAACAATATTTCAATAGCAATAAGAAATTAGACACAAATATGGTAGATTTTGAAGTTTGCAATCTCGAATTGTTTCGATACTGAAATTAGTAGATATTCTACCATCCACTTCAAAAGGATGCAGCTGTTTGAGTGGTTGCAGTCCACTGGGGAATTATTTTTACAGATGCCATAGAGAAATGACTATGAATTGAATTAAGTATGTATGATAAATCTATTCATGTCCTTCCTGTTCTCATGAGACCTACAGTGGACATTACTGGAGGATTATGCCCACAGATGCGGTAGGAATATTTGAGTGGATGTTCATATGATTAACAAAGCTAAATTGATGGTTATATAGAAATGGATTATTCAGATTCAAAATGGAACATTGTTTGGCTAGATTTGTTTCACTAATTAAAGTACTGCTTAATTATGTTTTACAAAGTATACATACAGACATTAGAAGAGATAATTCATTCCACTGCTGAAGAGTAAATCTTGCACAAACTTAATTTTAGTAAATTAATAACAACTCATTTACTTGATGGACAATCATGGCTTTGCCATTCAGTTTAAGACAAAGTTCATAATATTTTGTACATGTTTGTAAATATATTGTATTTACATCCCCTCTGATAATTAGAGTAATATATTTAGAAATATTTATGAAATTTGGAATAAATGTTATAATTGGCTAGAACAGAGAAAGAAAAAGATATAATTATTGATGTATATAAAATGTAAATAAGATGTAAAGAACATTTAAAATGTAAAGCACTGTTCTGTTAGAAGAAAAGATTTATGTTTATGTAGTTTTGGTGTATGGTGTATGGTGAAGAAAAAAAAAAGAAATAGTTTCACAAACTCCATGTTCTACTATAGCTACATGCCTCATGACAAACTGTTTGAGGATAATGGACACTCAAAGTTATATTGGGAAGAACGGGAAAGTTTGCACTAGCAAACTTCCATTCGTGTATATTTTGATCTAAGATATTTGCTCCTAAAATGGTGAGATTCACAGAGAGTTAGTAGAAAGTTTAGCATTACTAAACAATTTAAACTTCTCCGAAATGTTATACCTTATAAAATATATTTAGCATGTAAAGATATAATTTATTTTCTTAAATCAGTAAAATGTATTTTTAACTACCTGATATTGTTGGATGTTGGATATTGTGGTTTATGTATATATTTGTCCAAATTATGCAAATCCTGTATGAAACTTGATTGATGAAAGACCTCATTTTTATGTTGAAAAAAATATTTTGGATTATACCAAACCAAGTATATTCTAAAGCTGCTACATTTTTTAAAAAAAAAATCAAGAAATTATACTACGATTTGATTTGCTCAATCAAAACCTCAGATTTACAAGGGGTTGTTTTTTTTTAATACGAATCATTCCCAAAAAGGAATTTTGCTACATGGTTACTGAAGAGAACATAATGAGTAATTTTACAGAAGTATGAAATCCAATCAATTTATTACAGACATGATGGGTTTCCTCTGTATCTTAAAGGGACCTGGACAATGCTTTTTCAAGTGAACAAACAAGGTCCCCTGTTTTTTTCCCCCCTCTGGACAGTTATTTTGCTCCATTGATTTTATTTTATTTTATTTGTTTGTTCAATTTCTATAACCATCCACCTCATTAAATGAGTCTGGGTGGAAACTAATCAAGGAGAGAAGCAATCTAGAACTAAGGAGAAACTTCCTGACAGTGAGAACAATTAACCAGTGGAACAACCTGCCTCCAGAAGCTGTGAATGCCCCAACACTGGAAGTTTTTAAGAAGAGACTGGACAGCCATTTGTCCGAAGTGGTATAGGGTTTCCTGCCTGAGCAGGGGGTTGGACTAGATGACCTTCAAGGTCCCTTCCAACTTTACTATTATTATTATTATTAATATTAATATTAATATTAATATTAATATTAATATTAATATTAATATTAATATTAATATTATTATTATTATTATTATTATTATTATTATTATTATTATTATTATTATTATTATTATTATTACTTTATCCCACTTTCCTCCCTGTGGTGACTACTGATATACTCCTACTCCTAGTTTCACGTTACTTTCATTTTAATGGAAGATATAGTCATTAACACATCATACAGTATTTATAATTCAACTTTATAGCCACTTGGGCCATAAGTAGTGTAAAAGTCCACAGAGGCCATCCCCGTTGCCCCTGGCCATGACTTCTAAACAATAAGGCACAGGGGGAATGGTGCTTTACCCTTATAGTTTACACAAGCCAAAACTATTATGCTTACTATGTGCAACTTCAGATAGCATTGTATTTTAGTGTGTTCACCTACACGTTTTAATATATGTAGATGTATTCATTTATTTACTTCCTCAGTGTCATGCATGAATATATATTAGTGATTAATAATAAACTAGATCTGAAGTGTTCTGTTTCTTCTGAATCAATTGGATGAAACATCTACTTATTCAGATATCATGGGAAAGAATAATCTGTAAGCATGCTGTAATTCGGTATCATTTTTCCATTCAGTGGTTACTTCATTTTTTTTTTTTTGCTTTTAAATTGCAAAAGGTCATTCCTTCAAATTGGGTTTTTTCCCTTGCTTCCACTGTGAATGTGATCTAAGGGGTAGCACATACAATCAGTTTAATCTCAGGTGATAATTGAGAATGCATTCAGTTAGTGAAAATCTATACACACACACACACAAATCTTCAATCCACAATTGCTATTGATATGTGGAAATCACTATGGGGTGTCTCAGATTGTGTGAAGCATTCTTTGTGCTTGTGTATTCATGGGTGCATTCACAGAGCACTGTATTAAGAAATCTGAATATATGCAGTGGTTCAAAGATAGAACTTACTGAGGGCCTGTTATGCAATAAGCAATATTGTGCCACTGAATCAACAGGAACTAGGATTACATGAGTAGAAATGCTGAAGTACTAGGAATACTTTTCACTCAATTGTTTTGTTTACCATAATGAAGGATAGTCTCAGATTAGAGCCTCAGGGCTTCTCAATGAAGGGGATAGAAGTATACACATATATCTTCATAGAAGTGAAAGGGAAATTCTTTGAATATAATGGAAATTTAAATGTGCATTGCAGGTTCAGCACTCACAAAGATTTTTTGGTCAGAACTGATGTCCTTAATGCCATTAAAGAAAAAAGTAGATATTTAATCATGAGTAGGACAACCTTAACAACAAAACGTAACATTTTAAACAGATTACAATATCTAATTAGCAACCCTTATAGAAGAAACACATATTTTTCTTTTATTTAGAGCAGAAAAAGCTTCTTTAGTGGTTTTACAAAGCCACTTATCAATTACATACCTCCATAGTGCTGCATAGACAACTGCTAGTGTGATCAAAGCCAAGCATGAAAGGCCACTGCCTACTATTAGGGTTACTGAGGGAGCACCAGATGACTCCATGATCTGTGGATCATAACAAATATCTATCAGAGGAAATCATATTCTAATAACTACAGCAAAAAAAGATGTTGCAAAATCTAATTGGTACATAGTGATTTCATGTCAATGGTATTACCAGTAAGCAGCCATTCCTCCCTACTTTAGCCTCTATTTGAGACTGTAATGCTTTTAAGCCCCTGGGATCTCAGAATATTAAGTTAACGCCTACTGTATTGGCCTTGAATAAGGATCAAGGCCAATTTCACTCACCAAACAAAGAAATAGTTTTGTTTCTTTCCAAGAAGGTTAGTTCCATGGGAGGCCAGGATATTTATTGCCATTACAGATTCTTAGCTTTAAGAAAACAGCAACACATTTTGGAATTACATCTTCCCTTGATAGCCCAAGTAATGAGCTGAAGAAATAATTTGGCTTATTTTGACAAATTAAATGCTATCCAGTTCCTTATCCAATGCTTATGACTAAACTTTTTGACAGTACAATAACTTTGCCTTAAAGTCATACAGTTTTTTTTTCTTGTGGCTTTAAATGGATAAGAGAAACACCAATGGAAAAATTCACAAAAAATGAATAGAGTAATTGAAAAATCTGGACCTCTAAAACAAACAGACAAAAAATTCTCATGTTTAATATTTTCACGGTTGGAGAATAAATGACCTTGAGGAAGAAAAGTCTTTTTTAATGCAACCAAATATACCTCACACATATCCGCACTTCCACCTCTTTTATCAGTTTTTTTAATTGCAAAATTTATATGTTGTTGGCTAATTAAACAATTAAACCAAGAAGTTTTCAGAGATACCCTGCTTGATTTAGCAATATGCTGCTGAAAAGCCTAAAAGCTCCAGTGTAAATTACATTTTATCTAGATATGATGTGTCATCTAGGCAATATAAAACATATTGTTTAAAATGGATTTTGAGTTTATTTCAGTCAAGACACTTCTAGGTTACAGGTAAGATGATTGCTGACTGTACACTTAACACTGTTTCCCTTAGGTTGCCCAGATACTTTGAAATCTATTTTAACAGGCAGGGCTTTTTTTTAATAAAGAAATATTCATAGTTATTTTTTGTTATTTTACATTTTTGTTGCTTTATGCATATAGAATTGTCTCTCATAAATGTCAGCAAATAATATATATTCCCTGTACTGAAAATGCACAACTGCAATCTCTTTAACAAGAGTGGCTAGGTTCCTTATTCTGCTGGCACTGATGATTAGAAATAGCTCGCCCATTCCTATTTTATTAATTTATTCTTAAATGTAGTCTATTACAGTTGCTAAGTTTCCACAAATAGGATCTGCTCCACATCTGAAATTGACCGTAGTTGTTTATGTGGCAAAAAAAAAATCTGTAATTCATTTCCATAAACTGTAAGCTACAGAGGGAGAAGATCCAATCTCTTTCTGACCCGCAGCA